GGGCCGTCCTCCCGTGCAGCCTCCTGGTCGCTCTCCGGCAAGGGTGCCGTGAGGCCGAGAAACGTTAGTGTGGCTTTGGCTTCACAGCGCAGGCTTGAATGTGAGCTCTGAGCCGTGTGGGGTAAGTATGGCACGGGACACCCCGGCGCGCTGTGGAAATCCATCACATCTCCCATCGCTGCATTTTACTTGTTTGTCCGATAGACAGATTTATATCCGCCCCGCGCTATTTCTTACATCACGAGCTCTGTGAGGGCTTCCACAGCGCCCAGCCTGTTTTTCCCACAACGGTCCGGGAGGTGAGCTGGGCTGGGCTGGCCCAGAGGCCCTCGGGGAGCCTCAGTGGCTGACGGTGGACTTCGCTGTGAGAAAGCATCTGCCTAATATTGTCATATAGTATTTTCCCTTGTCTCACGACGCTGAAGATATAATTGTAAAAGCAGCAGGATTAAAAGAAAAGCGGGTTGGGAGAGAAGAATCCCACTAGAAGAGAGAGAGAATGGCAACAAATGGAAGGCCACACAGTGGGTCTATCCCTTTGATTTGAAAAACACTTAACAGGTTTGTTTTAACTTGCACACTGTTAAAAGCATCTGATTTGTTGTCGTACTTAGAATTTCAACTTTTGTCAGCCGGCAGATAGACGTAACGTGCCTCAAATAGGTCTGGAAAAATTATTCCCTGTTCTGCTGTCAGCCCCTATCCCATGCCATCTGTGAAGTGATCTCATTGACCAGCTGAGTGTGTCCCTCCACTGCCCAACAATACACGCAGAGAAGTGCAGCCCCCAGCAGGGGAGAACGTGCTTGTGCCTGACATGGAACATCTCCTCCTCGTAGTCCTGTCCAGACATTCATCCAAGCCTATGAGAACAAATAGAGCATCGCTCAAGGGGCCCCACTCCAGCGTCTTCCATGCATGTCTTTTCTTGCCCACCTTGAGCAACCAGGATGGCAGGCCTACCTCCTTTCTAGAAAGAAACAGGAGGAGCAAAGTAAATGGTGTTTTCATATCCACAAAGAACGTCATCCAGATGTTTTAGCCTTGGAACTCTGCCTTGACAAAAACAAGGGAAGGGACAGATTTGAACTGAATTAGAAAAATTCACCAGCCAAGCTCACAACCCATCAGATAACTCATAAGTTACAGTCATATGGTAACTCTGGTGTAGTGGTTTGGTCTAGTGGTGAACACTAGAAAGCAGGAGACAGTGAGTTCTAGTCCTGCCTTAGGCATGAAAGCCAGCTGGGTGACTTTGGGCCAGTCCTCCTCTCAG